TAGAAAGACTTTGCTGGATGTGAAGGAGCAGAATTCACAGGGAATTAATAAAAGGGTTTTTTGTTGGGACAACAAGGAGTTGGCTTCATGCTCTTGGGAAGCCTCGGTCAGAACATAACCCACCAAGCCCCTTTCCTCTCCGTTCCCCATTTTGCTGTTGGGAGAAATCAGGTTTGTTTATCTCGGTACCCCAATTCCCTCGGCGGGACCCCTCCAGTCTTTCTATGCTCCAAAAGGGAGCCCTTCCATATGCTCCCCCTCCTCTTCGACTCCCCTTGACCTTCAGCCGGGTCCCTCTCTCTTTCCCCTGCAGGTGTTCGTGGTGAAGGAGGGCAACAGCCAGCCGCTACTCACGGCTCACATTAGCATGCCCGTGAGCGAAGGCTTGGCCGCGACATGAACCGCCTCTGATGGGACCCCCAAGCTCTCATCCACCTCACCGCAGTCTTTCTTGACAGTCTCGGCACAGCGACTGGTCATTGGAGGAAAGAGGAGAGTCCCAAGTTGCCTCTTTTCAAATGTAGGAAGAAGATTCCCGTTTGCTGCTAAGGAGCTACAACTCCCACACACAGACCAGGTTAGAATTAGCTACCAAAACAGCAGCGTGAGTCTAGAAAGCCAGAAGAGCTCAATAAATTATATTTATCCTGCCGTCTAAAGGATAGGAGTGTTCCCTGCCTAAGAGGAATAGAATGGAATGGAATGGAACAAGAACAGAACACGACAGAATAGAGAACGGAATGAGTTTAGGATAGGACGGAAAAAGGAGCAGAACAGAATTAGGAAGAGAACAGAGTAAGACTAGAATAAAAAATAGAAAATAATAGAGAATGGAATGGAATAGAAAGAATAGAATAGGAATTGAATAGAATAAAATAGAATAAGAGAATTCTGAACAGAACAGAAGAGAATAGAAAAAGGAGCAGAATAAAAAAGGAGCAGAATAGAATTAGCAACAGAACTCTCCTCCTCTTCCTCCTCTCCTCTTCCTCCTCCTCCTCCCCCCTCTTCTCCACCTCTTCTTTTTCTTCTCCTCCTCCCCCCTCCTCCTCTTTCCTTTCTTTCTTTTTTTTTTGCAATGGGGGGAGCAACAATCTGCATCAAAAACCTGGCAGCTTTTCTCACTCTGTGTGGGCTTTTTTTTTAAACAAAAAAATTTCACACCCTTCGAAGCTGATAGTCATATTCTTCCTAGCAGTTAACAGCCTGGTTTATGAGAAGAGACCTAATTTCCCTTCTCAGAAAGCTTCTGTTTTTCTCGCACTTTCCGGGTATTTATTCAGCCTCCCTTTCCCACCCCTCCTTCCACGCCCCCGCCCTCCCATGGCAACCCCTTTAAAACTGAAATGGGGTAGGGTCTCCTGCTTGGGCAGGGGGGGTTGGACTGGATGACCTCCAAGGTCCCTGCCAACTCTGTTAATCCCAGTTGGGCATCTGGGCTGCAAGAGCGGCCTAAGGCTTGCTGCCTTAAAAGTGGCATCATGGCAGTCAACTTGACAAGATAATTCAAGAAGATCTGATGTTTGGTCTGTTGGATTTTAAGACTTATTTTTCCTTTGAGACACTTGGAGAAGATTTAAGGCAGTGTTTCTCCAATATGGCAGCATTAAGAGCTTCAACTCCCAGAATTCCCCAACCAGCTTGCTTTAAGATGGGTGGACTTCAAATCCCAGAATCCCCCAGCCAGCTTGCTTTAAGAATTGGCTTGCTGCCAATTACCTCCCACAGACCCATTAGAT